AGCGGCGCCCAGGCGCGCTCCTCTGTAGCCGAGCATCGCTCTTGCCCTGGCTCCGGCGCCTGGCCCGCCCCTGGGTGAAGTAAAACCCTTCTGGGTTCTACAAGAGCGAGCGGTGACCCCTCCAGAAGGGGCGAGGTGTTCCCCATGCGGCCCCTTCCGAGGGGGGACGATGTTCCCCGGGGGTGCCCCTCCTGACGGGGAAGACGTTCCCCATGTGGCCCCGCTCTCAGGTGGGGAGATGTTCTCCGTGGGACCCCCGTCCTGAGGAGGAGAGATGTTCTCCATGGGTGCCCCCAGCTCTTGCAGGAGGGTCCCTCCCAGCCCTGCCCAGCACGGCGAGCTTCGGGAGGGTTTAATAACCACTGTGAGGAAAGGTTTAACATCCCACAGGCTCCAAATGTCTGGATCGTGCCATTTTTACGTGTTGGCTTCTTGTTCTGCTTTTTTATATTCAGAAAGTGCTCGTTGAGGGCTGTTTTTTTTGAGTTCACAATGCAGAGAAACATTTCTAGATACAGAAAGAAAGAAACCCAGCGTCCCAGTAACATTTTTTCTCTCTTAGGAGAACAATACAGGCTCGCTGCGAGCGTGCCCAAACATGGGCTGCCTTTTATTATATATTGGTACAGTGCCTGGTGCAACGGGGTCCTCTTTTGGCTGGGTGCATGTGCTCAGTACAAGCAGGAGCTCCACGGTAAGAGCTCTGTGGCACACACGTCTTTGCAACAACCACCTGCGAGAAGCTGGGACCTCGCCGAGGGGGGCAGGTGGAATGCTTTGAAGAAACCAGTTAGTTCCTCTCTCTGTTTGAAGTCGCAGATGCTCGTTTCCAGTTGACTTCAGTCACTTGTGTGGGCTCTTCAAAGTGGTGTCGTTCAAAGTCGGCGCCGCTTGGTTGGGGTTGGTTTTTTTTTTCCCAAAATGTTGGTGCCTGTGTTTTTAAAAGAGCTTTGTGATCGAACTGAAAGCCCGTGTGACTTCTGGCTCTGGATAAGGAAACAACCATCTCACCTGCATCACAGGTGACACGGCAGCTTCCCTGCTGGGTGATGGAAGGTTCCTGGGTGGCTTTGGTCCCAGGCACCTTGCATTGGCCTTCAGCCTGAGGAGATGCTGCCCGAAGCCTCCCTGTGTGCTTTGTGCATGTGCAGAATCAGGTCTTTATTGATGGGTTTTATCTTCTGAGGCTTTTTTTGTCCTTGCTGCCGTTAGGTGGTATTTGATTTTCCAAACTCCAGATCGTTCACCTCAAGTTTGCTGCAGTTTTAATCCAGAGGTGCAAATGCTGATAAACAAGTTAGTTGAGGGACGAGGGGTTTGGTGTTAAGACCCCAATTTGACTTTTTTTATTAAAAAACCCCAACTTTATCCAAGGAGCTGCAGAGGGGAAGGGAAGTAGGATTTAACTGGTGTTCCTGTAACCTGTTCAGCTGCTGTTTTCTCTTCCAGAGCTGGTTGAAGTCCCCGTGGGAGGCGCTGGGCTGCGGGAGCCATGAGGTCGCGCTACGTCGCGGCGCCCACGGCCACGGTCCTGCTGGCCCTGCTGTGGGTCCAGTGGTCCACGGGCTGCAACAAGGCACTCTGTGCTAGTGATGTCAGCAAGTGCCTCATCCAGGTAGGGGCCAGCTTTCCTCCAGTTCCTTGGGAGCACTGAGGAAACAGCTCTGAAGCTGCGTCTTGAAACGGTCCACCCACACAAATAACTGGTGTTCTGTGTCAAATAATGGCTTTTTTAAGGGTTTAATTTGGGCTCCTGCACATAGAAATGCAGATTGGGGAGCATTTTAGAGATATTTTTATGCACATGTGTATATGGGCATGTTTCTGGTTTTAAAGGAAACATTTCCAGGTTGAGGATTGTGATTGCTGGGTTATTTAAGGATAAAAGCCACTACCAGCATGCTGTTAGCCTTCAGTCTCTTGCTTCTTTTATTAGTGATATTATAAACAAACAGCAATTTAAACCAGGCATTTTATTAGAAAGGTTTTGGTGGGCAACAATTGGGTTTTTTTAAAAGATACTTGCAATATCAGGGGTTCATATGTGCTTGTAATGCCACCATATGTCTGAGAGTTTCTCCTTCCCTCATAATCCATCCACTTCCTTAAGCCTCCCAGGCCAGAGGGAGGGTCAGAAGTTGATGCCTGATGTGCTCCATGACATCAGGTTTGTACAGCTGATGAAAAGATGAGAGAACTACCACGAGTAGGGACTGAACTTGTCTTAGAGTCCTGAGGTGCATTTGGAAAAGCTTTGAGATCAGGAGGGACCTCTGGCTACTAATGGTGACGAGCAAGCTCTGAAAGTAAAGAGGGAGCAAGAAAGAGGGAGTAGCTTCAACTAGAGCAGGTTGCTCAGGGCCACGACCACCTTCACCAGGGATGGTTTCAGGGATGGGGCAGCAACCACCCCTCTGGGCAGCCTGGGCCAGGGGCTCACCTCCCTCAGGGTCAAACATTTCTCCCTTCTCTCTAGTTGAAATCTCTCTCTTTTAGTGTAAACCCATCACCCCTTGTCCTGTCCCAACAGGGAATGATGTTGGCACCTCCCTGGGCTGCTTTCCTTGTGGGTGTGTTCTCCCTTCCCTCATCCAGGAGAGGTGCAATCCCTTTTCCCCATTCCCCTCACCTCAGACTCATGTGCAGTCCTGCAGGACCCCGAGGTAACCCAGGCCGTGGGAACTGTGCAGAGTTACCCTGGTGGTTCTCACCATCTGCCTGCCCACAGGCCTGACACACCAGTCAGTATTCATTCCTTCTAGAAGAACAGATCAGGTCTGACTAGTCTGGTGGGGGATATGAAGCCTCCTAAAGCTTTGACTTGAAGCAATTGTCATTTTTCTTCTCGCCTTTTATTTTCTAAACCAAATTAAATCTCCAGCACTCTTGCAGCAGAAGGGCTGTGCTGGTCTGGGCAGTGTTGCTTTAGTTCTTGGGCAGGTTTACAAGTAGAGTATATTATATATTTCCCCTCCCTCTAAACTCTTGTGGAGAAATCTGGACTTAAAACACTGTGTGGAGTGAGTCTGCTTGACGAGGACATGACATTTCCCCCTGTTTTTATAACTGTTCAAGCTATGCAGAATCCGTGGCTGGAACCCAAGATAATGTCACCAGGAGAGGACTGGGGGAGCAGACAGAAGGGGATTGTTTGTCCCCTGCATCTGGGGGCAGAAAGTGAGACCAGAGACCTGCTCTCACAAAAGACACATATGGGTAACACAAATATTTTTGCCAGCGTGGCTCGAAGTCAGCACAGTCATTGCTGCCACTCCTTGGGAGCTGCTCTGCTTAGGGGTGGTCCCTCCATAAATATTTATTTTGTTAGATCCAGAACAGAGCATGAGATCAACAGCTCACATGTATTCAGCTTTCCATGGACATCCTGAGGCTCCAGCTTCGCTGGTGCTCTTGGAGGCTGCTTCTTGTTTTTCTGAGCAAAGACCTATGAGAAAATAGCTTGAGGCACCTCTGTCTAAGCTTAACCTTCAGAACACCTTCATAATCCTAGAATCATAGCATCATTTAGGCTGGAGAAAACCTTTAAGGTCATTGAGTCCAACCATTGTTCCTCAGGTCCAACCTAAACCTCTCCTGGTGCAACTTGAGGCCATTTCATCTCATCCATCACTTGTCCCTTGGGAGCAGAGCCCGACCCCCCCCTGGCTCCAGGCTCCTGTCAGGAGCTGTGCAGAGCCAGAAGGTCTCCCCTGAGCCTCCTTTGCTCCAGGCTCAGCACCCCCAGCTCCCTCAGCTGCTCCTCCCCACACTTGGGCTCTAGACCCTTCCCCAGCAGCTCCGTTGCCCTTCTCTGGCCACACTCCAGCCCCTCAAGGTCCTTCTGGGAGTGAGGGGCCCAAACTGACCCCAGGATTTGAGGTGCAGTCTCCCCAGTGCTGAGCCCTGGAAGATGATCCTGGTCCTTTGGCTTCCTGTAGTTGTTGAAGAAGTTGTGGGTAAGACTTGGGACTGCAGGCAGAGAGGAGAGCAGAATGTGCTCCCTGAAGGCTTTGGACGTGGCTCCTCCCCATGTCTCAGGGTTGGGGCATTCAGGTCCATAGCTGACTGTTACCCTGATGCCCAGGTAGGCCCCAGCCCTGGTTGCACAGGACCTGCACGTTGTGGTGTCTCTTCCAGCCCACCTGCTCTGGCCTTGGGTGTGTGGGTTGTGTTGGTGTCTCCATGTGTGGAGGAGACCAGGGGCCAGTTACCCTCTGGAGGAACAGGGGGGAGACCCTTGAAGGAAACGTCTAGGATGGGACATTCCCACAGCTGTTGCTAGGAGATGGGCTGGAGGAGAGCCCCAGGGTGGCTCTTGTGGTGCAGAGCTACCTGCAGCAGTCAGGCTGGGTGGTACCTCCACATTGTGCTGGAAGCTGAGCTTTGCTGAGGCATCTCCACAGCTCTTTAACCCATGGCCCTGCACAGGCAACAAATGGTGCTCATAGCTCAGGCCACAAGTCCATAAACTGACCTCATCTTCCTGCAGAGGGCTGGTTTTGGGGAGGATGTAGGGCTGTGTCTCCCAAACCCTACCTGCCTGCAGTCCCCTCGGCTGCTGTGGTGGAGTTCCAATTAAAACCTCTCTTCATCTTTGTCTTCTCCTCCTGTTAATCTTGTGTACAAACCTGTCAGCTCCAAAGGATTTCCAAGACTTTTTTAGCCCTGTGGTATGAAACAAACACCACTCCTTAACTTCAGGGCTTAGGCATCTAAAAATTACTTTGTGTGTTGTAGCTGTAGAACCTCATGTGGCTGGGTTAACAAAACAGTTCAGGCTGGTTTGCTTCCAGGAGATTTTCTGTTAATAAACTGTTCTAGGAAAAAAAAAGAAAACCAACCAAACCATTAGCTCCTTTTCTTTCACTCCCCCTTCCCAGTTGCAGAGATGTTGCCAATGCCTTCGGGTCCCTTTTCTCAGGGCTCAGTTCCTGTCCTTTCAGGAAAGCTCTGAAAGAAGGCAGGTCTCAAGTACCTTGTAAAAACCTTTGCTCCCTGGAGCAGAAGTGCCTTTAGTATACAAACGGTGCTCTGCTTCCTATTGAATGCTGCAGCTTTTGTCTTGAGAGGCTCATTTCTCCCCCAGTGCCACAGATTCTCCAGTGCACCTTCAGTAGTTGAGTTTGGGAGGCTGCCAGGTTGACTTATGAGTAATATTTTCTTCCCCCGCCCCCAGCCAGCGTCAGGGAACGTTCCTCATCCTGCCTGGCCTCCCCCCTGCCTCCTGGAAGGCTCCTCTCACTGAGCTGAGTCCTGTGGGGTGGGTGAGGCAGGCAGCAGGGCTGGAGGGGCTGAGGAAACCAGCTCCATGCAAAACACACCCCTGGAGAAACACAGTTGGTGTTTTGTTAGTGAAGAGATGGTCGGGCTGGGAGAAGGGGAGAGCTGGAGAACTCTGCAGGAGACTCATTGAGTTGCTTTTCCTCCCTCCTCCTGCTCCAAGTTAAAATAAAATACATTTAAAAACCTAAAAATAGGAAATAAAATCAAAAATGACTCTGTTTGTAAGCACTCCCTGCAGAAATAGAGTTGTTCAATACTCCTGGGTACAGAGGTGCTCTCCCAAGCACCCAATCTAAGCACAATTCTTTCTCATTTCGTTGCAGATGTGTGATTTAAGGTTCCATTTAATTCAGGGGGAATACTCTTCTCTTAGATTCCCCCAGGGCAGTCTGTAAAACCAAACCAACCTACATTTGGTGAATTTTCTGGCTTGGATTCATAGGTGCCATGGGATAGTTGATGGAGATGGGCTTCCCCCCACGTGGTGGCTTTTTGTTGCAGTGGCTTTAATAAGTAGAAGGTTGTTTGCCCAGTTTTACTCTTGCAGAAGGAATATCTAGGGTATTTTTAATGCTAATATTTAATACCATTCTCTGACCCAAGTAACAGTACTTGTGGTTGTTTTTAGAGCTGTTTGATTCAGGCTTTTTATTCTCAAGGCTGACACAATCTGTTTTATCAAAGGGTGAGATAAATCTTCTAGAACTGCATCATTCATTCACATAAGTCAACTCTTGAAGTTTATGGTGTCCCCTCTTCTGGAAAAACATGAATATTTGATTCACAAGCCCAGAAACAGCACAGTGATAGGTGACCTTAGTGAACTTTGAGGGTGGAAAAGTAAAAATTCTTGGTTTGAAAAAACTCAAGGTTGGAAAAGACCTTTGGGATGATCCAGTGCAACCCTCAGCACAGCTTCAGTCACTCATTCTTAATCCTGGTCCCCAGACAGACTTGGCTCTGGGACAGAGGTTGTCCCAAGAAGAAAGGAAGAAGATAAACCTTGCTCTTCAAATAACCTAACCCTCAAGCTGAGGGACCTCATTAGCTGAGGTTGAGCCTCGGGTGGTGACTCCAGGTTAGGAGAGCTTCATGCCAAGCCACCTTCCCACCCTTCCCTCTGTCCATGTGTGTGTCCCTGCCCTTCTTCTGGAGAACAGGATCAAAGAGGAGGGCTGGGTGTGATCTCCTCCCTGGTCCTGCAGAGTGGAGAGTTGCCAGTGGCCCTTCCAGTAAAGCTGGGGATGGGAGGGATCCTGTGGTCAGTGTTTCCAGGAATGGGATGTTGTTTTCTCACCAGCTTTGCGCAATGGGACAGTTAAACAGACGTCCTCAAAACCAGGTTCTTAGATGGGACAACCAGATGTGGCCTCTGGACTGCCCACGTTCTGCTCTCCAGCATGATTCAAGCCCATAGATGGTCATCATGTAGCCACAGTCTCTCAGCCAGACTGGAATTGGGAGCACAAACCTCAGCCAGAGGGAAGGAGACCACTTGGTTTTCAGATTTCCTTCATCCATGCTGCAAGGTCCACAAGTGTAGGTCTTCAGGACTGTGAAACCAGAGCCTTGAGGTTTAGCTTGATCTTGCTTCTGAGCCTCTTCCATTTTTCCAGCTGAGTAAGTGTTAAAGAAGAACACACAGACCCCATTTCACTTTGGAGAGCCTCCACGGGCATTGGAAGTATCTCAAGGTGGCAGCCTGGGGGAGGGAGGGTTGTTTCCAAAGTGGCAAAGGTGAATCAAAACCTGGGGAGAAAAAATGGGCAGTAGTGTGGCAGATGGAGAGCAGTGTGTGTCAGGCAGGCCAGAGATGACCACAGGAAGAGAAGGCTCCAAGGAGACCTTATTGTGGCCTGTCAGTACTTCAAAGGGGCCCAGCAGAAAGCTGGGGACAGACTTTGAGCAGGGCCTGTTGGGACAGGACAAGGGGGGATGGTTTGAAACTAAAAGAGGGAGATTTAGACTAGAGAGAAGGGAGAAATGTTGGATGCTGAGGGTGCTGAGCCCCTGGCCCAGGCTGCCCAGAGAGGTGGTCGCGGCCCCATCCCTGGAACCATCCCAGGGGAGGGTGGACACAACTCTGAGCACCCTGCTCTAGCTGCAGATGTCCCTGCTCCCTGCAGGGGGTTGGACTGGGTGACCTTGAAAGGTCCCTTCCCACCCAAACCAGTCTCTGATTCTGTCACCTCCACCAAGAGGTGTGATGGTAGATGTCATGCATGGTCTGGAATATGCACACACAGCTTGGAGTAACTTCCTTTTTTAGCTAAATTATAACCTACAGGAGCTATTTATGCATCTGAAGCAACATCTTTCTTTGAATTTCCTGTTGTGGTGGGACAAACACTGGAAGAACTTCCAGGTTCAGGCATACACAGAAGCACACACACCTCTCCCACAAACAGTTTTATTTTCTCTTTTAAACAGTGACTTCAGATTTACCTTTAGGAAGAAAAAAACCCAACCCTTTTGTAAACTGTGAGTGGTTCTTTGGATCTATACAACCATTTACTCACTGTAGTAGCCTGCTGACCTTTTTTTTCACTGCCCCAATTTGGAGCTGGAGGAGGAGCCACCCTGGCCAGCTCCTGGTTGGATGTGGGTGGCTTTTGGGGAGGAGGGGTGCTGAGTGTGTCTCCTTTCCAGGAGCTGTGCCAGTGCCGCCCCGGGGAGGGGAACTGCTCCTGCTGCAAGGAGTGCATGCTCTGCCTGGGCACGCTCTGGGACGAGTGCTGCGACTGCGTGGGTGAGTTGGCCCCTGCTGGGGCATTTCCTGCCTTTTTCTTGTTGTTTTTTTTTGTTCTATTCTTTCAATGGCTTCCTCCTGCCACGTGCTGAGCTCCTGAAAAGAGCTCTAAGATCATCACATCCAAGCATGACCACTAAACCATGTCTCCAAGTGCCACATCCACATGGTTTTTGAACCCCTCCAGGGCTGGGGACTCCAGCACCTCCCTGGGCAGCCTGGGCCAACCCCTCACCACTCTGCCAGGAGAGAAATTCTTCCTGAGATCCACTCAAAACCTCCCCTGGCACAACTTCAGCCCATTGCCTCTCATCCTATCACTGGTTCCTTGGGAGCATAGACCAACCCCCACCTCACTCCAACCTTCTGTCAGGGTGTTGTAGGGAGATTTGTCATCCTGAGGAAACTAGGCAGCACCTGCTTCATGGGGTTGGGTTGTGTGTGGGGGTTTCTATGCAGACACCACCTGCATCAAAACCTCCCCTGGCACAACTTCAGCCCATTGCCTCTCATCCTATCACTGGTTCCTTGGGAGCATAGACCAACCCCCACCTCACTCCAACCTTCTGTCAGGGTGTTGTAGGGAGATTTGTCATCCTGAGGAAACTAGGCAGCACCTGCTTCATGGGGTTGGGTTGTGTGTGGGGGTTTCTATGCAGACACCACCTGCACTGTTGAGCCTGGAGCAAAGGAGGCTCAGGGGAGACCTTCTGGCTCTGCACAGCTCCTGACAGGAGCCTGGAGCCAGGGGGGGGTCGGGCTCTGCTCCCAAGGGACAAGCAACAAGACAAGAGGAGATGGCCTCAAGTTGCACCAGGGGAGGATTAGGTTGAACCTGACGAACAATGTCTTCCCCTTGAGGGTTGCCCAGGGCTGTGCCAGGCTGCCCAGGGCAGTGGTGGAGTCCCCACCCCTGGAGGGGTTTCCAAGCTGTGGGGGCAGTGGGGACCTGGCAGTGCTGGGGGAATGGTTGGACTCCATGATCTTGAAAGTCTCTTCCAACCTGAACCCTTCTATGATTCCATGAGCTGTAAGCTGCACTGGCTGCCCCTGCACAGGGACAGCTCTAGGTGTGGGTTCCCTTGTGACTGTAGGACCAGCAGCAGCTCCAGGTTCTCCCCATGCAGTGGGTGCCAGGGTGCAGAGGAGCAACAGCTCTGTGGGCAGGTGGTGCTCAGTGCCAGCCCCAGCAGGGG